TAAAAACGACATTCATTCGCAAATATTTTTTAAAAAAATATAGATTTTCACAAGCGTACACCTAAGACGAGCCAATGATATATACATACAAAAAGTTAGAACTGAGTATGGTAAGAAAAATATAATGTTTAACGGTGCAAAATTGTATAACGCTTTACCTAAAAATATAAAAGAATCAAAAACATTGCCTCTCTTTAAAAAAATTATTGAAACGCCATATTTTGGAAAATTAACCACAAAAAAATTGATATTAAATGTGAATTAGTCTGTAGGCACCCTTATTTCTGTTTTCGGTTGCATATTAGTTGTTCGGTTATTACAATTTGTGCGCTCAATACAATTGATGCTCAAACCTATGTTTACTGTTCTTTTAAATTGTTTACGTTTTACCCACAACTATACTTAATATTTCTGTATGCTCGTAATGTATTCCTTTATTACTGTTTTGTAAATTGTTAAATTTCTCGTGAGTGATTTGTAATCTTTTGAGAAATAAATAATATCTTAAACCTATTACAAGAACATCATCTAACGATACTAAGGAACCGATATCCAAATAACTTCCTGACAAATGGAATGTTGAAATGTTGTTTTCGAAAAACGATTCTAATGCATCGGTAGATGAATTCATAGTTACTAGAACATCGCCAACCATGTTTTTTTTCTGCCAGATTTGATTTTAAATGTTTCAAAACTTTTCTTGTGGAAACTAGGTCTGCATTAGTTATTTCTTTAGAAATATATTTTTTCTAGTGTCTGAATTTTCACTAATTAGTCTTTCCGGGGTATTCCGGACACTTTGAGTAATCCACTACATGGTGATCAAATTCATTAAGTCCACATTTTCTGAAACCATTTACTAATTATATTTCTTTGGAGGAGCCATCTGAAGAAAATAATGTCTTATTGAATCTTCTTCCTAAAACGTAACGTGAATTAAATATTTCATGAAATGTCCGTCAACCAAAGCAGTATTCAATTTTCGGCTTCCCTATTTATTCATATAATTTTAAGTTGGCCGAAAACTAAATAATAATTTTAGACTCAATCTAGTTTTCGGCCACAACTAAAATGGGTAGTTTCATCAACAATCATTCAAATTGCAATATTTGGTGGCCGAAAACTAAAAGCTAGTGTCTTCGCAAGGATACAATTCATTATAAAAAAGAAAGAAGACTAATAGTAGGTAACCAAATAAATGAAAGAGACAAAGTAAAGTAAAGGCTAAACACGGTCTACTTTCCGGCTACACGGCCGATAACTAAATAATAGGAAAATATTGTGTGTCACTTTCCGGCCACTTAATTTATTAACTTTTACAATAAAATATTATAGTAATCTATGTGAAAATTTAAAATTAAGTTATTTATACAGTGAAATATAAGCACAATATTAAATAATCATTGTAAATACAGCGCAAAATTTACTTTTGAGTGAAACGCGCGCCACTATTTTTTTTGCACGATCTTACACTCTTTGACAGCTCCTGTGCCGGCGTCAAACTGAACTATTTATTATAAATCGCGTGTTGTGTTTACCCGATGAAGTAATGTTGCAATATATAATGCAACTATTTAGAAATGCATTAAACTTAATTTTGGTCGATAATATTTATTAAAATTGTTATTAAATCAAATTTACTGCATCACCTCGTGCCAAAGGCCGAAAACTAGACCCGGACGGCTTACCGGCGCAACGACCCTATGACCTGGTATACACTGCCAACTACGTGAAAACATAACTAATCATTTTGATGTATTTTGCGGCATACTTCGCCAATATACGGAAGTGACAAATAAGTTAAAATAAAACTGTAAACTAAGAAAAACTCATATTTTATTTAAGGAATAATAAAAATATCAATTTTTAAAATAACTTAGGTCAACTTTGAGTAGAGACGGCATCGACCCTGACTAGTCATATAAATGAAATGGCCTACATTGTCATAATTATCTGACATCCTGGATCAGTGCAACTTGCGTAAGCTGTAGTCTTTTTTTTTACCTTCTCCGTTTTCTACTGAAGTCTCAGATCTACCTGTTTTTTCAAACCATTATAAATATCAAACCGGAAATTTTTCAATGGCGTTGGATCCTGGGAGGATATTTTAGCCTGGTCATGTCTGTTTAAAAGTCAAGCATTGTTGATACAAATATCTACCAAAAAAATATTAAGAGTTCTTCGGCATCCGACTTTCTGTAACACTGGGAAAGAGCTTTTTTAGGAGGCACGTGCACAAGTGCAATAACTCTATCACTACGTGTTACTAGCTTTTGCTGATGGCAAAGAAAACAAATCACCTGCATGCCACACAAACAAAAATATAAATGAACAAAAAAACATAGCCTCAAATTAGCAATGTATAACGTGATATACAAGCAAATTTAGGGAAAGACTTTCCATTGACGTCAGTCGAGTTTGGTGTTGATACGTATTTTTACAGAATGATTACATTTTTATAAGCACACACACAAAGTTTCAATATGCGGAAACACGTAATTATTGAGAAAAAAATATTGTAAATCAAATAATTTTGCAATATTTAGTCAATTCCTACCGTGAAACTGACCCCATTTTTATTATTATTGTCAGTAGGGATGTCGATTCTTTCCGAAAAAGATCGATTTTTTAAATAGATTCGAACTGTAAGCTGATGTATCGATTCCCAAAAAATCGATTTCTAAAATATCGATATTTCTTTCATGTTTGCATTTATAATTTAAATATAAATAATAATATAAAAAATCCCCTTCATCATAAAAAAATAAGGGGACTGATTCAGAAGGATTTCTGTATCTATTTTGAGACTGCTACGTCTCCGGCGCTGCGGGAAGAGCAGCCTCTACGCCTTAGCGTAACTAGTAGTAGGCATCGGACGAGCCGGAGCGACTGAGGCTGGTCGCCGAAGGCGACCAACAAGCCGAAGCTGCGGAGGCGAGGCTGCTCCCCCTACGCGCCTCCGGCTCTATAAAACCACTCTAGGGGTAGGACAGACTCGTACCAGGTGGAGTCGGGGTCAATCAATTCGGTTCTTTGACATAAGTTGAACCTAACCTATTTTATTTGTTATCTGCCCTAATAGGTAATGTTAAATAAAACAAATTTCAATAAGAGATCATTTATCATGGTATCTTTCTTGTTTTTCATAAAATGGGTTTATATTTACATTATAAATAGAAACATTAAAAAAATATAGATATTTTAGAAATCGATTTTTTGTGAACCGCTTACGAGTTGAATCGATTTAAAAATCGACCTCTTTCGGAAAGAATCGACATCCCTATTGACGTCGACAATGACATTACAAAATGGCGCCAGTTTTATGGTAGGATTAGACATAAACATTGCAAGAATAATTGATTTTCAATAATTCTTTTCTCAAAAATTACGCGTTTCCGCATGTTGAAACTTTGTGTTTGAGCTTATAATAGTGTAACTTTTCTGTAAAAATACGTATCAACACCAAACTCGACTGACGTCAATGGAAAGCTAAGCCGTTATATTATTAATTTACTGAAAATTAGCATGCCTCACTATTTATTGACATTTGAAGCACAAAATAACATTGTAACACACATAAAACGCAGTCAACATAAAAATAAAACAAAGAATTCTTACCTTACTGAGTGTCATTTGTTTCTTCATCACTAACATTTTTTTATTTTATAATGCCAAAAATTTTGCCAGGTCAATGAATTTTTTTTTTACCAAATTTTAAATAATGTTGTCACCGAAATAATTGCAGAAAACTCTATATAAAGTATATTTGAACATAGATTTTATTGAATATTGTGTATATTGTGACGTACACTGTCAATTTAAGGGTTAATTTTAATTTAGTTGTGAGACTAGAGAACAGAATACAATCTTTTTCTGTAGTTTGTAGGTAGAGGAATTAAATGAGTTCATGTGTTGGTACTTGTTTAGACCCCGGAATAGGGGTTCATAGTTCGGACTGGAATAGTAAGTGCTTTAAAGCCCCTTGGGTGATTAAATCAGTGAATCCTAGTGGAAAGCGGAAAATGTTTGCTGCTTCTGCCACTAGACTACTTTTACTTAATTTTTAACGCTTAAATAATGTTGTTTTTGTTAACCTATCTGATTTATAATAAATAATAATTTTACTAAAGGACAAGGGTATTTATGTTATGATAGAAAATGTATTCGGAAGATTATCATAAAATTGTTATAGATTTCGGCCGTCAAGAAATTTGTTCACCACATGCTGGTGTTTCAACTGGCTAGACCGGGATATATTACAAGCCACCACCAGCGTTCCATTGAGTATGGCTAGAAAATAGGCTAGTTTCGGTCCTGGCCACCCCTGGTGACGAAGGCAATAGAACCGCTCTATAGGAAAGGAGGGTTTACACACTTCTCAGTGGATCAGCAGTCCATTTCCATTAGATTATTTCTTGAATGGTAGAAACTGTATCCAGCTGTCAGCCGCGGTATAATCACCATCTGGTTCACGCCAGGCGTAATATAGCCAGACTGGCGATGGGAAGCAGCGTCAACGTTTACATGTTAAAGATGATGAAGGATAGTGTGCTTAGAAGAATATATTGCCCCTTCTGGGTGCTGTGCTAACTAATCATTCATTTTAACCAACTTCAAAAAAAAAAGAAGGTGGTTCTCTATATTATAGTACGTTCTTTTTTGTTTGTCAATTCAATTGTGAACTGATTTTAATGGTTCCCTTTTTATTAAATAGTTTATACTTCTAGAGGTCCAAAAGTAGCTATGAAAATTTCCAACCCTAAAGATGGGGAAAATATTATGCACTGATGTTTTAAATGCCATTATTTAATTAAAAAATTATATAAAATTATTGTACACTTCAAAGCTTTAAGACATGATATAAATAATGGGTTTAAGGCTTAATTACTTCAGTATCACATATAAAAAATAATAACTTAAGTATCAAAATATTATTATGAAAACACCAATGTAATTGACAAACAATAAGTCTTCAAAAGCCCAAGCATGTTAATAAAGTTCTATGCTCGCTTCTTCTTTTTCCTATTTTTGTTCTTGCTAGTCTTGTCATTATTCCAGTACCAGAAGAGTTGCAATACCAAAGCTGCATTAGCAGCAGTAGACACACAATATGTAAGTATCATAATAAAGTCTCCAGTCTCTTGAATAGATGTAAATATTCTGGCAATGCTTCCACCAAACAACAACAAACAGGTGACAGCTGACAATTGGCCTGTACTACCATTTTTGTAGTTTGTAATTACTTGAATCGCCTGAAATAATAAAACTCATAACTTTTTTGTTAACAAACCCTACACAGCCTTACTCATAAAAATCTACAATAGAAAGAGACTGGTAAAGATAATAAAAATTTAAGTAAGCAATAATGATTATAAGTAAAGCCAATAGAATGACATAAGTTTTCTATTGTGATAATGAGCTTCATCTTTGCACTTTTTGCACCTCTTTAATTACATATAGCAATTGTAAAAAAATATTCTTTTGACTACCTTTGCAACAACAATTATGGGCACATTCAATGCTTGCATTAACCATAAAACATCTTTAGGTGTATAATCACTAACAAGTGTTGAAACAACTCCAATGTAAATAGCTAAAAATGATCCTGCTTTTATTGAACTTCCTCTGTAATGTAGTACTAGAGCTGCAATAATTGCCGTTTGAATAGCAAGAAATGTTCCTTCACCCCAAGCACTGTAAGATATAACTTTAATTAATATATATATATATATATAATTCTTTTAATTATTTTTTTTTTCTATTGACACTTACCTAAAAGGAAAGTTCATAACATAACTATAGGCAAAATTTGCTGTAATGGCAAATAGTTCCAAATATACTCCATACACATTGATACCATCAGCACTTTTACTACCAAGTATTTTCAATATTTGTGGAACTTTCACCAATATAGATCCAGCGATTATTCCAATTCCAAGACCTTTGCTCAAAGTGCTTTTGAAACATGGGACTAAAATTAAAAATAATATTAAAACACAATGTTAACAAATACCAGCAGTAAGTTTTAATCAAACAAATTTGTGTTGGTTTCATTCATAGTGGTTGTGTTGTGACAGCTTATTCATTCTAATATATCTTTAACTTAGGTCTGGGAGGAAAGAGGTCAATGTATCTTCAATTTGAATAATGGATTTTAAAGGTACACCCGTAAAACAAACCCACCCCTAACAACCCTTCTGGGGCCGCCAGGTAAAAAGTAACGTATCTCAGTTGACTCACCGTCAAGAAAATTATATTTGAGAAAATACTGGTCGTAGCATTTTTCTGACAAAATCGATAAAAGTAAACCTTTTATAAAGTCTCCCATTATTTTTATTTCACTCAATAGTTGTTGTTTTAAAAAATAAGTTCATTCATTTATATCTACAATTTTCTAAAATAACTTGGATTTTTAATCAAGACCACATTATTTGATAATACAAAGTGATTGTTGATGTAACAGGGAAGATTACCACAAGCTATATAGCATAGATAGGGTATTATAATCGCTATATAGATACACGAAGATTACACCACAGAACACTATTCACAAACTTTATAGAAACACCTATTACTCCTACGGATTACACTCCCTCGGTTACACGTTCCATGACAAGCGACAACATCTCAATTTGCATTTTTTTTAAACTGGCTTTACGGCTCTGGGTTCTAGCCCTTCTGAGCCTAAAAGCTCACAATTTGCACTTTCAGTATGAGCGCTTATTACATTATCCAATTTTTAGAAAATCTAATTAGGAACCTAAGTTGGAAGCTAGTGATCACACTAAATTGAACTCTAAATCGTGACGAAGCACATTCGTAAAAGAAGTATCGACGGGGTTGCACGTTTGATCGATGGCGCCGTATTTATCAAAACAGCAGAAAATAGGACTTGCCTTAGCCGTGGTGGGAACAATGGATATTAAAAAAAGAAAAAAGAGAATATGCTGGGTTAAGGAATACTTGTCTTTGTATTTGTAAATATTTAACAATACCTTGAAGCCCTCTTTACGCATTGCTTTTTTTAAATAGTTTTCATCATTTTTATTATAGAAATAGGGCATTTACCCTATACAGGTCTATAATTTGTAATAACACCTCTTTTTCTGTGGACATGCTGCCACACGAACCACTGCTCAGTTCTGTCGCTTCACTCGTCATCGCAAAAAAATGTCGCACGCGCAGTCAAGACATCCACTTAGGCCGAAGCGCGGGCGCCGACTGGTCGCTCTAAATCGTAACGTTGCGATTACACTGTCCTAAATTGTAGACAATTCAGAAAGTAGAGCGGTCGGGACCTCCAACTTTAACTAAATCGGATCCTAACTGTTCTAACTATGATTACACTTTCCAACTTACTAATTAGATTTCCTAAAAATTGGATAATGTAATAAGCGCTTAACATAGATAAATAAATATGTAGCAAGCTAGTATATAAAAAGTATACTGTGATTTGCACTGACTTATAGGTATAGTGCGCGCAAGATAACTCTGCGTGCGGTCAAAATTTGGAACTAATCGTGTGCCGCCATCTTAATGTTTATGGCAGCTGTCAAAACAAATTGTTAGGTGTCGTGTTTTTATTCGTTTTTGCAGTAAATAATCGTCATCATTATGCCGAAAGTGATTAAAATTGCTGGCAGGGATATTATCTTGAAGGTCAAACGTGCTTGTGAAGAAGAACGAGACAATAACGGGCCTACAGTACCGTTTTCCAAAGTTAGAGCCCCCATTTCATATTTCACAGGTAATTTTTAGGGCTACCATAACAAACAAAACTCCCTAATTTTCTCGGTTTGTTCGTTTTAAGTTTCCTCGTGTCATTAATATCATGTATTTATAATGCGTTATTTTTATTATGTTTTAGGCGTTTCTGAACTCACCATCATCCAAATAACTCAAGAGGGTACATAATGTAGCAATAGCTTCATCTTCTAAAATTGTGACGCCGGGAAAAACTAGCAACCGGAGGAAAAAATTATGATTTAGAAGATTTTCATACGTGGCGCTATGAGGCATTTAAATCAATCGTTTGACGTTGTGAAGAAAGAGATTCCTGCCATAAATAAACTTTGGTTGGAATTGAAAGCTGATATTGATTTTAAATATGGCAGAACAACGTTGAGTAGTAGCTTAAAGACTATGAGCTACGAATACAAAAGGTGCCAGTTTAAATGGATAAATTTATAATTAATGTCACAGGCCGACACATCCGAGTCTCCTGATGAAGACTAGCATGGGTTCTGATGAAAATGTGAGAATGGAAGGCGTTGACCCACTGCAGGACCATTGTTACACCAAATTTACAAATAGATTTAGCTATTCAATAAAAGATTTACAAGGTTTCCACGGACTTATAATTTCGTTCTTTACAATAAATATTTTTAAAATAACTTTTTTGAAATATTCATTATATAATTAATAGAATCAGGCGTTACTTTGCGGAAATCCATTATATAAAAGCTTTTAGAAAAATTTACTTCGCAAATATCCGCGTTATAAAATAAAATGATGTGTCTTACCTAGTATGAAGAGCACCTCCCGCCCTCCCTCAATAGAATAGAATAGAATAGAATATTTTTTATTCAATATACATTACATGTGTAATTCTTATTGAAAGTCATTTTTTACTTTACCACTGGTTCGAAAAAAACCCTCTGTCCTGGGAAGAACCAGCAAGAAACCCAGCGGGACTTTTTTTTATAATACATTTTACAATATAAATGATTACGAACTATTTACAAAATTTATTATTAGAAACTGCTTGGAAGCGACCACCTCATTCCTAGGGGTTATTATCAACCATGTATTCATTTATACTATAATAACCCTTTTTATATAGTTTCAGCTTAATAAAACATTTAAACTTGGTAATAGAGAGAACCTGTACACTTTCCGGGACCTTGTTGTAATAGCGTATACATTGCCCCAAGATTTGCGTGCACTATCCCCGTCACCACTAATCCCAGCACCGGTACTCCCAACACCACTACACTAGGCAAGACACACCACTGACGATAAAACGGATGTACGCAAAGTAATTTTTTGGCAAATTTAATATAATGGACTTCTGCAAAGTAACGCCTGATTCTATTAATTAGTTTTAAAATATTTAAAAGTATCTTTTGATGATATTTTATGAAGTGTAAAATTCTTTGTACGTATTTACATTTTGTTTAAGTAATGATTCGGCGACAGCAGGAGAAGAATTCAGTGACCTAATGGTTAAGATCGGAAAATATCATATATATATATATATATATCAGTACAATATTTCTCAAAAACCATTGCAACATTCTGATCTGATTTAGTTAATTTGTTGTTATGGCCCACATACATACGAAATTCCGTTTCGGAATTCCGAACGCAGCAAGTTCATATAAAATCTATGTACCGGTAAAGCGTCTGAAAACCCTTTCTCAAAAGAAAAGGTCAGACGGGGATTACGGGTCTTCTTGTGGTCACCCCGGTCCCGACGTCGTTATGCTGGTTCTTCGATATAAACTAGTGGACAGTATTGATATTTAAAGGTGAAGGATCCCTCGGGAATAAAACAGCAATTGTCTTCAAACTGCTCCGTAGGAGTGCAATTACTTTCCCTATCACTTCCCTATATGTTTTCTTTCTTGATTATATATATTACTGGTAGCTGGTCCCGAACGAATTACACTACGTTGTCTTCTTCTGTGTGCTATTCGCACTACAGGAACAGGCCTCGGGGCACACCCCATTGCCTGGATATTCATTACGGCCCATAACTATGGGCCGGTTCTGGGTGCCTTCTTGGCATTTAACTTAATACGGCGATCACGGGGTCGATTTCCCGGTCGTTGTAGGTTGGTTATCTATTGGCGTCTAATTTGGCCTATGGGCGTCTAAGTTGGCCTATGGTCGTATAAATTAGCCTATATAGGCGTCTAATTTAGCCTATATAGGTAGGTGTCTAAGTTGGCCTATCTGCGGCATTGCGGGTTATTACTCGACTTCCTAATCTATATAGGGAGGAGTTATCTTGGTAGAGGTCGCCCGTCCGGAGGACGGGCGTGTAGCGGCGCAAAGTTATTTAAGTGGGGGTGTGGCCCGTGGTCAGCGCGGTTGAACATACCGCGCGACAGCCGAAGCACAAACTCTTCTATGGATTCGATCTTGAGGTTGGCCGCTATGACGTCGTTCCGCACGTAGCAACCTGCACCGACTATGGTCCTTAGTGCTAAGTTCTGTTGGGTCTGCAGTCGCCGCTTCTGCCGATCGCTCAGGAGCGCACACCAGGCCGGAGCAGCGTAAGTCAATACGGGTCTTATGTAGAGCTTGTAGAGTTTGGTCTTCGTCTTGATAGATAGCTTGGATGCCAGAACGGGACGTAGCGTCGCCCGCGCACCTCTTGCGTTGCGGACGACGAGATCGACGTGCGCGGTCATGCGCAGCATCCTGTCGATCCGGCATCCAAGATACGTCACGGCCTTCTGGTATGTGATGTCCTGGCCTCTGACCGTCAGTGGCGGTGGTAGGTTTCTGAAGGGGTGAGTGAGCAGAGCGGTCGTCTTACCAACATTAACGGCCATCCTCCACTCATCCAGCCATACTGGCAGCAAGTCCAACAGCCTCTGCATCCTGGCAGTGGCGATATGGGGTCTTTTGAACGAGGTGAAGTAGGCGTTATCGTCCACGTATAGCACCAGCTCGACGTCGTCCTCCCATTTGCGCAGATGTCCTGCCAGTGTTGGGATATCGTTGGTGTAAGCCGCGTACAGGACTGGAGACAGACAGTTGCCCTGTGGTACGCCGGCTCTGATAGGTTTTGTTGCGGACATGGCGTCCTCTACACAGACGTAGAACTTCCTGTCTGCCAGGAATGACGCCACTAGCCGCAACATAGCAGGAGGGATACTGGTCTGTTCTTCTAGTTTGTATAGTAGTCCAGAGTGCCACACCCTGTCGAACGCCTTCTCTATGTCGAGAAGGACGCCCAACGATGTGCGACCGCGGTTGTGCTCGGCCGCAGGTAGAGCAGCACTCTGGTCAGCTGTGTCGCTGTTGAGTGATCCATCCTGAATCCGTGCTGCTCCGCCTAGCAGTTTAACTAATTGCGGCAGTAGCGTAATCGGCCTATAACTGGCAGATCTACGCTTGTTCTTCCCGGGTTTCAGCAACACAATCACCTTGCCAATCTTCCGATCCTCCGGGAAGTGGGATGTCCGCAATATTCCATTGTAGAGCCGTCCTATCTCTACTAATGTCCTATTGGGCAGCCGTCGAAGCGCAGCGTTGGTAATCCCATCGTGTCCCGGGGCCTTCCTGGGTTGCAGGGGGGCCACTGTCCTCCGCAAT